TTCTAGGAGAAGATATAATGCCTCTGTCTTAATGAGGCAATTATGAGCAATAAATGATATTTAAAAGAAACGTTACACAATCATTTCAATTTAATTCAGATTCTCTAACGTATTTGCCATTTAATGCTGTATTTAGACTCTTTTACGTCATCAGATTCGTATCTTCAACTTCTTATGATATTTGATCTTTAAACGACTCGAATAGGTACGAGACTCGTACCTATTTTAGTAACGGTCCACACCTATGTTGCTTTCTTTTCCCCTATCTGTTGTCGCCCGTGCCTCTTGGCTATTTATTGTGTTTTGACCTTCTGACCAGTCCATGTGTCATGACACGTCATCTTCAATATTCAGACTCAGTTTTTTCCAATACACCTATGTGTCCAGTAGTGCAAGAACATTGTTGGTACTAGTACCACTGCATGCTGGTACAGTCGTGGTGGGTTCAGCTTCCTGATAGAGATGAAGCATTTCCTCAAATCCACTGGGCAGCTAAAGATGAATCTTTTTTCTTTTCTTGCCCTGAATACCATTGTTTTTGGGTAACACAACACTCCATGCTCCACTGTTCTTTCTGTTGGTGCTTCTTCCTCCTTTTCCATCTGTGTTAGGTTTAAGTCTTGTGAAATGAGAGGTGTTGCCGCTTGAGGAGCCGGTGCAAAGGGGTTGATGTTGTTGGGGGTTGGGGTCATAATTGGTGTTTGGGAATGGACAAAGTTCAGGTTTGTTTGGTGTTGCGTCTATTGAGTTAGTACATGTTAAAACGTAAGGGCTGGTACTGGAGGGTTGATTGGATTCGGGTAGAGAGGTAGGTTTAGGTTGATTAGATTGTATGTGTTGTGGTGAGTCCATATTTTATGACTCCATGGAGATGGGTGCGGGCTAGAGTTTTGGTACAGAGGAAAAGGGTGAGGGTGGAGATGAAGGGCATTCATCCATGGTCGAATCATGATATTGCTCAGGCCCAGTTGAAGTCCTTCCGTCACTATCTGGGCTAGATAGCTTGGGTCTTCTATTTGGACTATAATGTCTCGCCCCTCTAGTTGTAGGATTGTGTTCAAGGCATGGCCCATCAACCCCAGTTCCAGCTGTGATTGGGGCATATGGTCTGGTTGAATAGGCCTTGTAGAGAAGGTCAGAGGTGCCGAGGATGGGTTCTTTATTTGGGCTCCCCTGCAGGTATATTGGTTTGATATTCCTCTCGTGTCCAAACATTCTTGCGAGGTCTAGGGTGCCTCCTGTTGTGTTTGTGGGGTGGGAGCCTTGGCATTTTTTGCTTTTTCTTTGGTGTGCTTTGTATCTTCTATAGTAAGAAGGCTATAGTCTTTGTTGGTATTTATTGGTGTTGAAAAACAAGTTCTAGAATGCTTAGCTTCACTACCGTTTGCAGCCATTTACTTCTTCCTAGGATTCATCTTGTCTTGCTCATTAATGGGATGTTGACTTGGAGTTGACATGAGATCCATTTGATTTGTACTATGAAGGTCCCCTAATGAGTTAAAGGAGTTTTTTTTAGGGATGATATTCATGGTGTGAGCTTATCTTGTCAAATATTAATGTTGAGGATTGATTTATGGATGCAATACAAAGGTCCATGTCCATTGTTATATTCTTTCTAGGGCAAGTTTCAGGCGGCGCATTAAAGGGGGGGATTTTGGTTTGGGAGGCATTTACGTCCAAAGGTTTTTGTGAGTAAAAACTAGGTGCATTAATTAGTGATTCCTTTCTTTTGTCATTCCCCTTATTACCCGACGTGGAAGAGCCTAACAGATCAGTCCCTGGGTGATGTTGATGTCTTAGTTCGTTAATCAAAGGTTCCAACGAACAATCATTTTTTTGGGAGGTATTTGATTCAGTTGTTTGCAGAGAGGGGTGGTCCTTAAAGTTCATGATTGGTTTACTATCCTCTTGCTTGGTACAATCATTTTGGTTGGGTGTTGAGACCAACGGATAACTGTGATTTTTGTCACTTGTTTCTCTAGGGGTTTTTAGTGCTAACGCACTTTGGGCTTGAATTAGTTCGTTTCTTTCCACTGTCGCAGGTCAAAGTTAGAGGCTTTTCCCAGATTCCTTTTTGTATTTGTAGGGTCCTTACTAGGGTTGTCTGTAACATTGATGATTTTTTTAGGTTTTCTTTGGTGAGATAGTATGGTCCATTGGTCGATTTTTTGTGTAATAGCCTCCACCTCCTTTGGTCCGGGTAAGTTACTTCCTTTTCGGTTGACTGCCTTAGGGTTTTGGGATGGACAACTATTTTGGTTATGGCCTAGTCTTCCACAGTTTGTGCATAGCAAGTTAAAGCCCTCGTAAGCAATTTTTGTATGTGTTTACCAATCACTATGTAAGTTTTGAGTGGTTTTTCTATGGGAACTAATACGCAAAGTCGAGCATATTTGCCTCTCAGAGCAGATTTGGTACAGGGGTCGATACGAATTAGTTGGCCTAGCTTTCCTCCAATAAAATTGTGTAGGTAACTCCGGAAGTCTGGCCCATATTGCTGAGTAGGTTAGAGCAGCTTTCAAGGCGACAAATCTGGGCTCCCATTTTCTCACAGTGAGGAATTGGTTTCTAATGAACCAAGGTCCTTCGTGAAGAGCTTTGTTGTAATTTTCCTCTTTAGTAAATTTTACTAGGTGGTAGTCACACCCCAGGTCAATTAGGGAGAGAGGTTCATTTGGTCTCCATATCGCGTGCAACTTTTTCTGAAGGAACTGGTTTGGTCATGATCTATAACGGCATACAGTATGTATGTTCATGAGATAGGAATGGTGTAGGTAGAAACCTTATTGGCTTAAGAGGAGTGACTAGAAAAGGGGAGGAAAACTAGATCTCAGAGAGAAGGAGGAGCATCTCAATTCTCTCTAACCCATTGGCACATGAAAGAGTTCCTGGTTGTGTAACTTTTATTTTATTATATTTATTAAAGTCAACGAAAAGTCACTTAAATGTAGGTAATTAAATAATAGTCAATATTGTTTTTTTATAATAAAAGAATCACTCAATTTAATCCAAGTATCATACAGAAGACAATAGGAGAAAAACAAGGTTATTTTTCTAATATAATATATAGGCAAAGTTGAGTGGTTTCTTAGCTATAAAAAGTAATTTAGTGACTTTCGTAATACTTAAATAAAATTGAGTATTTTTTCTCTGCAGAAAATAATTTAAAGAATTTGATACAATAAAGTAAAAATACCATCCTAAAAATTACCCAGTAAACAAGTGGGGATGAGAGGACTTGTCTCTCTAGGATAACAAGTGGATTTTTGGCCATTACAAGTCCTTATCTAACATTATCTACAAGTACAAACACCTTATCTTATATCATCCAAAAAAGAAAGAAAAAGAAAAACAAGAAATCAGATATCTAATCTAAGCTCAAGAGTGAAAAGGAAAAAAATAAAATAAAAATAAAGCACGAGAATGGATGCAATTCAACAAGTAGGATTTCCAGTGCTAGGAATTATAGCAGCAGCAGCTGTTACATTTTATGTAGTCAGCTTTTCAGAGATTAGAGAGGTACATATTATACTTTTCTTACAATTTTTCTTCCTTATTGAACTCTATAACTTACTGAAAATACTTGTTGTTTATTAATTTTTCACCTATTTTGGGAAAGTGTAGAAATCATTTAGAGAATTTGAAGATGCAGAAGAATCAGAAAGTGGTGGATTCAAATATGTTAGCTCTAGAGAAAGGAGAGCTAGAAGAAAAGCTGATAAACAAAAACCCAATAAATCTTAATTCTATGTACTCCATTCATATATTATCTAATTTCTAGCTATTGCATTGCCTCCCATACACCTAAATTTTTATGTTCCTTTAACCAATTTGTAAGGTTTGTATGAATATCTTGTTTGGTTTGGTATTTGTTTTAGTCATTGGAATTACCCTGCTGGATGTGAATTTTGGCTAATTGATCTCTCTAGCTATAGTAGATCATTTGAATTTTCTGTAATGCATGAAACCAAGGGTAGCCCGGTGCACTAAGCTCCCGCTATGTGCGGGGTCCGGGGAAGGCCAGACTACAACGGTGCAACCTGTATTTCTTCAAGAGGCTATTTCCGCTGTTCAAACCCGTGACCTACTGGTCACATGACAACAACTTTACCAGTTACACCAAGGATCCCCTTCATGCTGCATGAAACCAAGATTGCGTGTAAAAACCCAAAATCCTGATTGCCATAATGACAATCAATCTAGTTTAAGTGTGCAAGTTGCAAACTGCGCCATGTTTAGCAAGGTTTTTATGTATTTTCTATTGGGCTTAGAATAAAGTTTCACGTTCGTTGTTGAAAATATTGGGAGTCTACATAGAAAGTATAGATTTTCTTAATAGTGTGATGCCATTTAGGGAAAATCGTGCTCGCTTGGCCTAGAGCGGACAATATCACACCATGTCAAGAGTATCTTTGGGTTGTTTTACCCAACAGTTGGTATCAAAGCCCAGATTCAGCGGGACGAGTATGACGATGGTAGAGTGATGGTTTGGGGCTCGATTTGCTTACCCATACGATCTTGGAGGCGCAGACACAAAAAGAATATAATTGCAGGTTTCGGTTGCCATAAATACTCTAACGATGTGGGTGACGACGAACAGTGAATCTCGGAAATTAACCCGTGGATCGTGGTAATGGTCACGGAGAACTGGTTCAAGGGGAAGACGACATATAAGGTATAGGGATCTCTTAATGGTGTGAGACCTTTTATGGAAAACCATGCAAGCTTAGCCCAGAATGGACAATATCACACCACGTTAAGAAGCCGTTTTAACCCCACATTTTCCTTGTAGACAAGCCATCCTTCATTAGAATTTTGGAGCAGAAAGTTGCATAATACACTACCACTAGCAAAATAGCTACAGAAAGTCAGATGAGTGCAACTTGAAAATGTGAACTATCTGGCTATATTTCACAAAGCTTAGACAGTTAAAAGCACCACTTGTGGGATAATACTGGGTCGTTGTTGTTGTTGTTGTTAGACAGTTAAAAGCACAGAGATAAAAAAATTTTTGATGTAGATTGAAGATCAGAGTAAAACAAGTCTAACTATGATAAATCCTCTAAATAGATACATAAGATTTCCCAGCTATTCTAAGATACGAGCATAGTTAATTGATTTATTTACATTACACATCTAATGAGAGTGGCTAAAAGACTGACTTCAATTGGACTTGAATTTCCCCCTCTTTTTCCACTTTTTTTTTCCATCAGCTTTTACTTGTTCTGGGACTTGAGTTCTTCAACTCTCTTTTCAGTATCCTTAAGTGCTTTCCCATATTTGACTATCAACTGCAAAAACAAGAACTATTTTAATCGGTTTTCAGATATCAAGAAACTGCTTAAAATCTTAGAAAAATTGAGAAAAAATCCGAAGAAACGAACATTCAAATACAAATGTGATGCCAAGTTGATCAGGGGCTTAGGCACCTTATCTCAAGCACTGTCATGTTACGCGTGTTCGACAGAAATTTTCGTAAATATGTATATATTAATAATAAGAAAAATAAAAATATTGGATATAAATATATAAAAAATGGTAGCGCTTGTCGTTATAGTGATTTATTTATTTGTTCTCTAGAAATGTTGACAACGCTTACTGGCCAAGTTGTTGGAATATTTCAAACAACCATTTTTAGGAACATACCTCATCAATTTCTTTTAAACTCAAAATATATGGAGGAGACATCATTATGTTATCACCAGCAACACGTACTAACATCCCGTACTTCTCACACTGTGCTCCAAAATATGCACCAATACCTGAGCAAAGAACGAACAATTTGTCAAACTGAGCCTAGAGTTAACTTAATCTTAGATTAAGACGAATTAATTAAAGAGCGAAAGCATACCCCATTCAGGTGGAAAAGGATCGTTCGGAGATTTGTTATCTGTAAACTCTGTACCATGTAGCAAACCAGTTCCCCTTGTCTGAAAATCGGAACAAAATTTAAGAATGGATAAAATAAACCGAAAGTAATTAAGACGTTTTAGCTGGCTTCTACAATGAAAATTACTATACCTCCCCGACTATGGGACTATCAGAGAATGCTTTCAAACCTTCTTGGAACTTTGGTGATATTCTGTTTACTTGCTCGATAATATTTCTTTCCCTGAAAATAATTCGGCTCTTTTCAGCGTTTACGCAGTAGGTAAGTACAACATGCAAGATAGAAAATACTGTCTTTGACATCATTAAGCAGTGATGGTTAAAAGTAAATTAGATGAGAAAAAAATACAACAACAACAACAACCCAGTATAATTCCACAAGTGGGGTATAGGGAGGGTAGTGTGTACGCAGACTTTACCCCTATCCTGGAGGGTAGAGAGTCTGTTTACAATAGACTCTCGACTCAAGAAGATGGGAAAAAATTTAAAACATGTTTTCAGTCCATACAAGAAGGAGAAAGGATTGCATACTTGTATATCTTGAGTGTTTCCAAGGCAACCACACACGAGACAGGGTGCCCGGAGTAAGTAAATCCATGTGAAAATGTACCTAGTTATAGAGAGAGAAAAAGAGAGAGCTATGAATTATATTTGGTTTCAAAGAAAAGACGATATTATATTTTATCGAACCGATAATATGCTCACCAAGTTTGTTGCTTTGAGAATTTATGACATCAGAAACTTCAGGGCTTACAAGGACTGCGCCGATTGGCATATATCCAGAAGAAAGAGCCTGAAAGAAGAGTTAAAGAAAGACAAACTGAGAATCCAGATATAAGCTGTAATTTGCATAGATTGGATATAGTTAAAACTTTTACCTTTGCTACAGAGACAAGATCAGGTTTAATGTTGTATTTTTCACAGCCGAACGTTGTCCCAAGCCTTCCAAATCCACATATAACCTCATCCGCAATGAAAAGAATGTCATACTTCTTGACTATAGCTTGGATCTAAAAATCAGTAGGATGAAGTATTGTTTCAGCTAGTTATATATAAGCATAATACCTAGGAAGAAAATAACGATTAACTTCAGAATTACGAATAAAACAGGAATTGTAGTTGAAAGGTGTATAATAGCAGTAAGTTCTTGCAAAGACTATTATCTTGAGGAGCCCCACGAATTCCTAATGAAATATAAAAGAAAAGGTGTTTGGGGGCGGTTGCCTCGTTCTAAAGCATCGCGTAAGGAAAAACACTCGTTGTTCCTTTATTCGGCAATGCATCAGCTATCTTGTGAAGGAAAATCTAACCTTATCGAAATAGGTTGCCGGAGGAGGTATGACACCTCCTGCCCCCATGACTGGTTCGGCAATGAAAGCAGCTATCTAAGTGAACAAGTAAATTAATCAGCATCCATTCACCATTTATGACACAAGGAAAACATGATAAGTGATAAAAGTAGATAGAATGTTACTGTTTCAGGACCCTCTTTGAGTATAAGATTTTCCAAATTATTGGCCAATCTTGTCGAGAACTCCTCTTCCGTCTCACCTGACATGCAACATTTTAGTAAATAGGTAGTTATTTAGACCGTATATGATCAGTATACGATAAGAGATAAGGATAAATAAATACCTGGCAAATGATAGCGCCAATAATGAGGGCAGTCAGTGTGCAGAACAAATGGAGCCGGCAAATCAAATTTCTGATGTAATGCAGGAAGACTGCAAAAGAACAATATTAACAAAAAGAATACTTGAAATAAGTAAATTGATTACCCAAAATGGAAAAGCATATTACCCAGAGAGACTGGCGGAAATGAGAGTAGATCCATGGTATCTGTTTGAAGGTTACAAGAATGAAGATTATGTACGCCAAAGGAGATACAACATAAGACACGCACATACACAAAACAAGAAACCAGGAGTTGAGAAATCAGATTACGATTTTATTCGAGCAATAAATTTCTTTTTATCTGGCCTCCCAAGCGCATTGTTGTAATACCATACCAGCTTCACCTACAGATTGAAAGCGTAAAAAGTTAATGTCCTGACAATGTAGACATGCAAACACAAACTTGAACAAAAAATAAAATTATCCTATCAAATCTCCAATAAATCTGAGTAGCAGCTAGAGAATCTATTTAAATATTTGAAGGCAATAAACAAAACCTGAGTGTCATTAGCTTCTGATCCGCTATTTGTGAAGAAAGCTTTCGCCATTTTATTTGCAGTAAACAAATCCAGGAGTTCTGTTGCCAGATCCTGTATGTTTGAAAATAAAATCAGCTTGTAATCTAAAAAAATGAGATTTCTTGTCTTTCTGTATAAGGCCACTATTGAGAATTTGCCATACCAAAGAAGGCTTTGTGGTACGATTCCAAAACGAATGGTAAAAGGGCAACTGATTGAGTTGTTTAGTTGCAGCGGCAACAAGACGAGGCTCATTTCCCCCTACAATAATGTGTAACAAGACGACTATGAGTTAAATATTTTGGAGGAAAAAGTGGTACACAAAAATAGTGCACCAAGGATTGTAAGTACCTAAAGCTGTGCACCACAAACCAGCTAGAGCATCAAGATACTTCTTCCCATTTATGTCATAAACATAAGAACCCTATGACAAATCGCACAAACGTTAAGCACATCAGAGGTTTCTTAAGTTGATCGCCAAAGAAAGACACAAATCTAACCTCGGACTTTTGTATGACTAAAGGATCCACATCAGTAGTCTGCCACCCGGCAGTGAAGGGTGCCAACATATCATGTCCCTTATATCTGAAAATATGAACCACATTTTGGTTACTCACAAGTTAGTAAACTTGTTTGAGAGACCGTGTACCTCGATTCTCAAGGTAATGAAATACATTCAGACAACATACCGAAAACAGATTATGTGGCACACTATCCTTTTTAGTTTGTTCCAAAAAGAATATCACCTCCCTATAATTAGAAACAATATCACTTCAAAATTCTCATCCCTCGCAAATGTCTAAGGCTTGTGTTAGACTACAAGTTTCAAAATTCATTCTTTTTTTAAACTATGTGCCCAATCAAACAGTGCCACAAATATAGAGAAGTACTAAATAGTCACTTAGATAGAGATCAAGCGGTAGGAAAGGAAAACAAGATTTACCCTCTAATGTCAGCTGATGAAATATCATTCTTCAAAGATGTTTCAGTGCTACTCCATCTAATCTGTTTAGGATCGCAAACGATTTGTTTCTGCAAATTGCTAACAACAGGAATATGCTTTACACGGGAACCGACCTGTAAAACACAATAAATTAAAAACCAGAATCAAAATGGAAGATTGCATATACTCTGCTAACTGGCAAAAGTTGGAAAGTTAAATGTTTGGAAGGTTGAGAAGTTTGACCGGGAGTTGACTTTATTGATAAGAGGGTCGGAATCCGATTCCGAAAGTTGAAATAGGTCCGTAATTTTATTTATGACTTGTGTGCAAAATTTGAGGTCAATCGTATATTTATAAGATAAAGAAAACCTCATGCACCAACTATGACTCATAACTGATCATCCAGCTGATATATTGGAGTATTATAAAAGATGATGATGCTTGAACATAAGCAATATGTGGATTGTAATTTATCAGCTGTAACATACCAAACAATAAAATCAAAGATCTCACAGTAGAATATATTGAAGGCAGAGCCTTAGCGTAACTGGTAAAAGTTGTGACCAGGAGGTCACGGGTTCAAGCCGTGTAAACAGCCTCTCGCAAAATGCAGGGTAATGCTGCGTAGAATAGATTTTTGTGGTCCGACCCTTCCCCGGCCCCCACACATAACAGGAGCTTAGTGCACCGAGCTGCTTTTTTTTCCACAGTAGAATGTATTATATAATGAACAGACAGATTATTCAAGAACTCTGATGAAGGCACTAAAGCACTTTGTTTAACAAAACAATAACAACAACAACAAAAATCCAGTGAAATCCCGTAAGTAGGTTCTTGAAAGGGTACTTTACGTACACCTTATCCCAACCTTGCGAATGTAGAGATGTTGTTTCCGATAGACCCTCAGCTCCATGAACTTGAAAAGAAGCAGTAACAGTTTGTTTAACAAACCAAACAATAAATGATTTGCTGTTTAAGTTTCTTAGGAAAATCATAACAGACCGTTCTAGCGTTCTGTAAACTGATCAAGGTAATTTTATCTTTTTAAGTCAAAAGAAACTACTGCAAATTGCCTGATTAATACTCCCTCCATTTCAGTTTACGTGAACCTATTTACTTTTTGGTTCGTTAAAAAAAGAATGGTCACTTTCTAAATTTGAAAACAATTTAGCTTAGACTTACAATTCTACCCTTAATGAGAAGCTTTTGTAACCACACAAATACTCTGATCCCTTTTTGACTTGTTTAGGACCATAAATTCCAAGACTTGTTTAGGACCACAAATTCCAAAAGTTCATTTTTTCTTAAACTTCACGCCCAATCAAACAGGTTCGTTCACATAAATTAGAACAGAGGGAATAGTCAATTGTGCCACATTGTCCAAAGTGATATACATGAAGATCCTCCGGATAAAAGCACAATTTTGGATTGTAGACTTGTTATCAAACACCTTTATATATACTCCATTACAGCACTAGAGGTGGCAATTGGTGGATTAGGTTAAAATGAGTCAAATTAATAAATGGGTCATAACTCAACAAGTCGAAATTGTGTCAAAATTTGGTAGAAATGACATCAGCTAGCCATTCTAAAGTGCTGTTAATTAGAAAATAGGTAGTGCATCTTGAATTTTAATTTTTCAATTCAAAGTTTCAGGACAAAAATGTCATGATTAATATTTTTAGTTTAAAAATTCAGGACAAAATAAATATTGGCTAATTCTTAAATAGCATTCCTGAGAATGACTATTTGTGCACTTGTCCCCAAAATTTGTTGGATCAAGAAGGATCATAATAACAGGTCATAATTCAATCGGCTAATTCAATAGTTCAAAGCAAGTTAACCAATAAGTCATAACTCATCCTGTTTAAACTTATAACCCGTTTGGCCAAGCTGCAAAAATCATCTTATTTTGAGAAGTGTTTTTTTTAAAAAAGTGTTTTTCTCAAAAGTACTTTTGGTGAGGAGCAGTTTGTGTTTGACTAATTAGTTTTAAAAGCACTTCTGAGCAGCAATTAGTATTTGGCCAAGCTTTAAAAAACTGCTTCTAAGTGTATTTTTCTCAAAAGTGCTTCTCAAAAAAGTGCTTTTGGAGAGAAGCTATTTTTTTGCTTCTCCAAAACTGCTTCTGCTTCTCCTCAAAAGCACTTTTTTTCCTTCCAGAAGTTTGGCCAAACACCTCAATTTTTTGCCAAAAGTGTTTTTGACAAAAAAAAAAAAAAAAAA